TATATGTTCCGAAAGCACATCCACGGGAGTCACGTCTGCTTTCGATATGGAAGAATCAGAAAAGAAGGTTCCACGTTTTGAACACAAACCAAAGGAGAAACGTATGAGGCAAAAGAAAAATATGGAAACTTCTGCGCATGAAGAAATTACAAATCCTGGAAGAAAATGTCCTTCGTGCTCGAAATTCTTTTTGCGTCCAAAATCATTGGAGCGACATATCGGTTGCAAGACCTGCATCAGAAGATCGTGCAAAGCATGCTAAGGTGACAGCAACACTCAAATCACAGGCAGCCAGAATTACATCCACTACATGCACCTTGGGATTAGAAGTAAAGAAACAGAATATTCGAAAGAAAGAAAAGTTGATATTAGATAAGTGGGAAAACGAAGTAAAAGGAAGTGCTAGAAAGACAGCAAACCTGAAGCGAAAAAGGGCAAAGTTTACTGAAGAGCAGAAAGGAGTAATGGAAAAATGTTTCGACGAAGGAGAATATGACAAAAGAAAGCGTTACACAACTTCATCCTGTCAGAAGTTAATGTTGGACAAGTTGGGACAGACGTTGGTACTAACAGAGAAACAAATCGCTAGTTACTGGAGCAATTACAGAAAAAGAAAAAGCAAGAGTGCACAGGAAAAGGAGAATAAGAAACCGAAACTAAAATAAGAACGATTCCGAAAGATTAGAAAATTTTATTAACATCGATATTTTGAAACAAACTGAAATAACTGTATTCTGGAAACTTTGTAGAGTGAGCAATGGATTCCAAATATCAATAACTTATCTCACAGACAGTGAACACTACACAACACTTTCAAAAGTTTTGATATTTAGTTGTGATATTTTGATATTTATTTAATATAGACAACACAATTGTGAAATGCATTACAGGTCTGCAAAACAGTTCTAAATAAAAGTTTGGTAACTAAACAAGGCATGACACTATGAGGTCAGAATACCATATTACAGTAATCAATTCAAAATTCACAATCTTCAACCTAAATTTTCTTTTCGGCGTACCACTCCAAATCTCTCTATTTTGGTATTTTTTCCAAGATAATATACACAACACAATTGTGAAATGCATTACAGGTCTGCAAAACAGTTCTAAATAAAATTTTGGTAACTAAACAAGGCATGACACTATGAGGTCAGAATACCATATTACAGTAATCAATTCAAAATTCACAATCTTCAACCTAAATTTTCTTTTCGGCGTACCACTCCAAATCTCTCTATTCTGGTATTTTTTCCAAGATAATATAGACAACACAATTGTGAAATGCATTGCAGGTCTGCAAAACAGTTCTAAAATAATATTTTTTGATAACTTCAATTTTTCTTTTAAAAAAATACATCACTCAGATACATAAACTCAACAATTCTGATTCAATTTTTCAAAACAATTTTCAACCTGTTTTCTTTTTGGTATATCATTCCAAAATTACCTCTATAATTTGGTATTGTTTTATACAACTTCATACAGACAAATTAACTGCAAAAATAATACAAAAACCACAATTTCCCTTCTATAAACTGCATGCATTGAAAGCAAATTTTCCTGTTTGGCGAATTGTATTCAAAAAATATATTCCAACGAATGCTCAAAAGTAATTTTTAATCTAGAATTAGTAAAAAAACAATTAAGATATATAGCACATGTATACAACATACCTTTTGCTTTGTATTATCCACCGACCCCCTAGCCAAGAACAGTCTGCACAGAGTAGACAGACCTTGTCACCATAGTAGTTCGATTCTTCAAAATATATGTGAAAACTCTCTTAAAAATTCTCTCCCCGGCACCTTCCTGTTAGCAATTCTCCAGCCATATATATATATACTCCGTTTAAAATGATCTTGTGAAGAGAAAAATATTCTGCAAGGCTTCCTTCGAACCTTATAGAGAACGGCAACAGAACGAAATTTCATTGAAGTAAACAGCCGGCAAATCGGCAATTAACAAGCTGCCATCTTTAAATTGCATAATGAGATCGCATGCGATGACGTCATACGTTTTGACCGCATGATACGCGACATAGAAAAAATTCTCCTCTTAATGTTCTTCGCTCCAGTAGCTGAGATATCCCAAAATGGCTTGATATTCAGGAAAGTCTGACTTAAACTTCAAGTCTTTTAGGAATTCGGCGGTTGTTTCGGGGTCTTTGGTTAGATTTTTGAAATGTTGAATGACATGTTCATGAGGGTCTAGTTTCATGACTCGTATAGCTTCGGTGAATTGTTTCGTAACCGTTTGATGTTCGATCACTCGCTTTACTGCTTCCAATCCATGCATTATCCATCCCTCTTCTTCGGACATCATGAGGCAATCATGTCTTTTCTGACTTGGATGATTTACTTCACAACCGCAGCATTTTTCTTTTCGAAGTTTATGGACTTGGCAGTCAACGGCTTCCAAAAAGATAGCATTCATTAGATTACACAGGTTTCTGATTTCCCAAGGCACAACTTCGTCTACGTTCAGACACTTTGCCCAGAATACTTGCTCACACGAGTTCATTTTGACTGTGTATAGTAACGATTTGCTTTATAATTGATATAGTATGGTGTACGTACACGGTGTACGTACACCACTACGTCATAGTCATGTCCATCTCTGATTGGTTGATGCGTACAAATATAAATTAGGTGTACGTACACGGTGTACGTACACCACTACGTCATGTCTATCTCTGATTGGTTGATCCGTACGAATACAAATTAGGTGTATGTACACCAATTACGTCATAATCGTGCCCATCCCTGATTGGTTAGCTGTGTTGGATGAAGAATATAAATAGAGGAGACGAACGATTATCGTTATTCTGTTCATAGTTTTCACTTAGGGAAGTTACTTCAAATATACTGTTTACATGGAAAGAGCTTTGGTGGATATTTTGTTTGACAACTAGCTATTTTTAAGAGAATCATTTTTGATTGAGATATGGAAAGGAAGATCAAAGAATGTCAGACGATAGCGGAGCTTTTGGCTTTGGAAAGTCAAAACGTATTCAACGAACTGGAAGAACGTTTAGTGTTTGAGAAGAAAATGGAGATTTTTCTGCGGATAAAGGAATGGCGATTGGAAAACGAACAGTTAGGACTAGTACCTGATCTTACAGATACCTGGACGCCCGAACAACGCGAGAGCTTTCTACGCGATTGGCAAGATGAAGAGCTTCCGATGCAGATTAATCGAGGTGAGAAAAGATCATATGAAGAGATGAGTAGCGATGATGATGAACCACAAGTCGGTTGCAGACAGAAAAGATCTTATGAAGAAACCAACAGTGATAATGAACAGGATGAGGACGATGGTGTGGGAACGTCTAATGTTTTTACGGTGCAGAGTGTGAAACAAGTGAATGTGAAAAAGTTCAAAACCACGGGTATGGATTATCATATTCAATTTACGAATGCCTTTGTGAATGTGGAGCTTTCTGAATATCATGAAAGGTTGCATGAAATATTTCAAAGCTTGCTTGATGAGGTTATCTGTGGCGTTCCTCCTCATGACCAAGTACGTTTCGTCCTGCATTCACCGCAACTGGAAAATCCTATTTCATTTCCGTTTATGCTTCGTCAACGTCTCACTACAGAACGTGTGTTGGCAGAGTTTGAACGTGTGATCCAATCCAATCGCCATTTTATTCTCAACGATAGTGTGGATGTCAATGTTGTTCATGTGGAAATGCCTCACGGCGGTAAAGGTACGAAGCGTAGCGAGATTAATTTGGAAAAGCATTTAATGAAGAAATGCTCAATCATACGGATACGGAACAATGATCAACTTTGTTTGGCGAGGGCCCTGGTCGTTGCGAAAGCCAAAATTGATAACGATCCACAGTATACGAGCATTGTTGATCATTGCAGGGCTATACAAACCCGTTTGGCTCGAGAATTACATCACAAAGCTGCCGTCCTTTTGGGTTCTTGTGGTTTGGATGAAGTCAAACGGTTTCAGACGTACCTTTCCGATTACCAGATCAATATTGTGTCCAAGGAACATCAGAATTCTCTCATTTATGTTGGTTGCGATCAAGAGAAGAGAATTTATCTGTACCTTTATGATAATCATTACGATGTCATTACCACCATGCCCGGCTTTTTGGCGCGATCCATGTACTGTCATACCCTGTAAGAAAGCTTATGATCATCGGAAGATCACTTATGCCCGAATGCCTGTCCATGTTGTCGTTTTCCCGACTGTCCTCTTGAGTCCTGGGTTCGCTGTAATGACTGTAACCGAATGTTCAAAAGTCAAGCATGTTTTGATCAGCATAAACAGTCTAGTCGAAATTCGATCTGTGCGACGATTAGATGCCTTGAGTGTCATAGAATTATCAAGCGCTATAAAAGAGATTCGCATCATTGCGGTATGACAAAGTGCCCAATATGTAAAGAGTATACCCAGCCCGGCGACCATCGATGTTACATGTAGCCCGTGGAAAAACGGAACAAAGGTTTATCGGACAGTGACGGTTCGTCTGAGCACCCTGAGGATGTTACGGAAGGCGGGTATGACCAAATGTTATTCTTTGATTTCGAGTGTCGTCAGGAAAATGGAAAATCATGAACCCAATTTATGCATGATTCAGAACGAAGCCGGTGACGAATGGGTATTTGAAGGGGATAACACACGGAACGAGTTTTCCGAATGGTTATTTCAAAAGGAACGGGCAAATTGTGTGGTGATGGCCCATAATTTCCAGGGGTATGACAGTTACTTTATTCTACAATACTTACAGGAAAACGGTGTCAAGTACGATGTCATGATGCGCGGTGCCAAAGTGCTTTCCTTATCTGTGGACATGTTCAAGATCAAATTTATCGATTCCTTGAACTTTATCCCAATGAGATTGGCAGATATTCCAAAAACCTTTGGCATAGAAGAGCTGGCAAAAGGGTACTTTCCTCATCTTTTCAACAAGAAAGAAAACTAAAATTATGTGGGACCGATCCCACCCACTCCCTACTACAACCCGAACGGAATGAGTCCTGCAGTGAAGGATGGCATAGAAATTTGAGAGAATGGCATAGAAATTTGAAGGACAACGACTACGTGTTCAATTTCGCGAACTGTTCCGTGACGTTACTAAAATCGATCCCTTTGAGAAATGCCTTACCATCGCGTCTGCATGCAATCAAGTGTATCGGACAAACTATCTTCGAGAAAACACCATTGCCATCATCCCACCGTGCGGTTACTGTTCTGAAAACAAACAGTCCCTTCTTGCACAAAAATGGTTGTCGTATACGGCTGAACGAAACGAGATCTACATACAGCATGCTTGCAACGGCGGAGAGAAACATGTTGGGCCATATTTGCTGGACGGTTATCATGAAGAAACCCACATGGCCTATGAAGTCCATGGATGTTTCTGGCATGGTAAGTGTTTGAATAAACGCCTCCCTCGAATAGACGCCCCCTTAGAATAGTATTTTAGAATAGTATTTTTGTTTATTTCTTACAGGATGTATAAACTGTTACGCTCGCGATACAATGAACCCTGTCAAAGGTAGAACCATGCACGATCTTCATCAAAAAACCGTGTAAAAGATACAGTATTTAAAAACTCAAGGCTACAACGTGGTAGAAGTTTGGGAATGTGCTATCAATCGGGAATTGGCAGATACTGAAGACATGAAACATAACTTTGATCAATATGATGGAGTCGATACGTTGGAACCTCGTGATGCTCTATATGGAGGATGAACCAACACGTTGAGACTTACCATGAGTGTAATGATGATGAAAAAATAAGGTAGGGCGAAAAAATTTTTGACGTTATGTTTTTACGTTATGTACGATGTCATGTTTTATTACGTCATGTATGATGCCATGTTTTATTACGTCATTCTAGATATGTGGATTTTACAAGCCTTTACCCCTGGTGTAATAAAATGACGCGACCTATTTTGGTCTGGTCAAATCCACCTATTTTGGTCTGGTCAAATGCACAGTGCTTCCACCTCAAGGTCTGTTCCACCCTGTTCTTCCTTATCGTACCC